ATTTAAAAATAATACGTAAATTTTAACATATATATTTTAATTAAATAAATTAATACATAATATATAATAAGGGTTAAATATAAAATTTTACAAAATAAAGGATATAAATAAAAATGAAAATGTAAGTTGGAGGGTAAAAATTGTAAATTTACAAAATCAAATTTTTTAAAATGAGTGGGTCCCATACAAACTAACTTATTTCTACCAATAAAACTAAAACTAACCTATTTCTACAAACCTTTTTCAAAACCAACCCATTTTTGCAAAAAACTCGCACAACCTTACCAGCCCTTGACATATGAACAAGAAAACATGTCCTTAACGGAATGGTACTTACTTTCATACAGGTGCTGCATGGCTGTCGTCTTCTTCTAGTTCTTGCAAAATAACTGCATCACTAAATTTGAAGAGTATATATTGCAGGAAACAGTTCAAAAAGATAGAATATCGTATCCGATGAACGATGAACGATTTGATTGTTAATGGACACGTCAATGCACAAGGTAATTACTAATTAGACCGTACAACATTGAACAATTATATGCCAGTTATATGCATTTACAGTTTCATTACTGAATAAAAAGACTGGACCCAATGAAGAAGAAGAAGAAGTCGAGGAAGAAGAAATGAACATACCATCGACTATTAAACAAAGAAGAAGAAGAAGAAGAATAAGTGAAAGACTCCAAAAAACACTGTAAATCGATAAGATTGGTAACATGAAGAAGATGATCCCAAAAAAACGTTGAAAATATTCAGTATTATAAAAACTAATTATCCTATAATTCATCCTGAGTATAAATAGTATTAATCATAAATATACGTTTTATGTATAATATTCATCATGAATATATATAAATACATACATAAAGGAACTTGTTAGTTTGTGATAACTGTGAAATTCAATCTCAACCATAAATCAATTGTTAAATTATGAAACTAATAAATTTGATAATTTGACTTAAAATTTTAATTATAGGTATTTTAAAAATCTTATATATTATCTCTCCTTTCTTCTTCGAACTTTATTCCGATGAACCTTATTCTATCAAACATGATGCACAACTATCACATTTAGAATAACATTTTATGTATTCTTTAAAAAAAATATGTAAAAAATTGAATTTAAAAAAAATATGTAAAAAATTGAATTTAAAAAAAATACATAGGACCGGTTTGTGTCTGACTCAGGACCGGGACCAATTCTCATAACTGATTATAAAGTACCTTAACCAGACCATCTTTTTTTATTGGTACTCGTTACGAGAATAGTGTTTGAAACCTAGATCGATTTGGACCCGACCGTATTGAGACTGATTTTTAACCGTCCCTAATTAAAACTAGAGTTAATGAGGACCAATGCTCGGTTCAAGGCCCAAGCCCGATTCAGTTCAATTATATATATTCTTGTTTATTATATGATAGTATGATACTTCTTATAATCTTTCTTCCATTACATTCTTACAATATATATATATATATATATATATATATATTGTATAAAAAAATAATGAAATTTATTGAGGCGTTTTTAAAAATTTACTATAGTTATATCTATGTGTAGGGGTCCAATCAAAGAAGAACTCGATTGTTTGTGATAACTGTAACATCCAATATCAACCATACATCATTAATAATCAATGGTTATTATTAAATATATTAATTTTGATAACTATTCTTTAATTTTAGTAATTATTTATTAATTTTCAAATAATTTAAATTTACTGATAATATATAGGGGTAAATTATCTTTTTTAAATCTCTCTCC